TTTAATTTTTTTTTTTTTAATATGATGCCATTTTTTGATTTTACGCATTATTAAAAGCTTTTTGATATTTGTTTGTTTTGCATGACAAGCAATGAGTAAACAAATTCATTTGTTTATTTGTTTTTGTTTTTTTTTTGTTGCTTGTTTATTTGTTTGCTTTAAAATTTAGCTTGAAAGCTATATGCTCTATTCATTCCTTTTTTTTTGTGTGCGGGTAAAAAACGTTTACAGGTAGCAAAATTTCGGACTTATATTCATCCTCTATTAGCTTATCGTGTCATTTTGGCGAACATCAACAATTATCAAACGGAACCATTAACGATTACTCAATTGATAGTATGTCTAAACAAGAACAACAACAACAACAACAAGAACAACAACAACAACAACAACAACAACAAGAACAACAACAACAACAACAACAACAACAGCAAAAACAACATCATAATCATGGCATTACACTAATATCATTATCATCATCAACTGATAATCAGGATATTATTATTACTACTACAACTACAACTACTACTATCAATAATACTCATACAACAACTACTCCGTCACCGATACTGATGATGTCACTAACAAAGAAGCGTGGAATTTTTCCAAAGCCAGCGACAAATATTATGAGAACTTGGCTTTTTCATCATCTAACGGTTAGTTTAGATTCAGGAATATAGAAATTGATCCGGTTAGATAAGTTGGAGTAAGTATAAATTAATTAATTAGTTTTGGTAACATTTGACAATCTATTATGGTTACATTTCCGATCACTTTCTAGCTGAATGCATCTCTCACTTTATTTGCTAAAACTTTTAACAAAGAATGATGATGATGGCATAGTACAAAATTAAATTCAACATATATCAATCATTTGTTAAGGACAAATTAAATAATCCTGTAGCATGAGGGAAATAATACCGTATAAGCGAAAAATTAGATGTTACAATACTATAGGAATAGTGCCGTAGTATAAGAAAAGTGATATCGTATGAGTGAAGAAGTTAGCTCTAGTAGTGCTGATATTGTAACGCAAGGAAAAAATACTGTATGGGCGAGGAGATTAGATGTCACAGTACTGTAGGAGTGATACTGTAGCGTGAGGAAAAATACCATACGACTGGAGAAATTAAATGTTACAATACTACAGAAATGATATCGTATATGCTGGCTTTAATTTTTTTTTATCGATCTTTTAACCCATATGATAATGTTACGGTAATTTTGCTTTTGTGCAGCTTATAATTAATTTTATTTTGTTTATTATTCATTTATTTTTTGTTTACCTTTTCCTTGTTTGCTTGATTTTCTTTTTTTTTCCTGTGCAAAAAAAAAAAAGGTGTCAACTTATTTCTTGTCCTTTGTTTTTATTGATAGCTTCACTGCTTTTGCTTGCAAACTACTAATACAACACTTTTTTCACTTAATGAATTTTTTTTTTTTTTTTTTGGATGTAATAATTTGATAAAATACATTTAATATTATATTATAATCTAATTTTTGTCATTTTCTCCCTCTCTCTCTC